AAAAATGGAAAAAACTTAGTACTCCTGATCCTTAACAGAGACTTATACCAAGAATACCAGGACCACCAGGGAAATCGATTTGGCTATTCCTGTCAGTGACATCACTGGTCTGCTCCCAAACACCGTGAACAACTATGTCAGGCTTCTGAACTTCGTCAGGAAGGAGAGAAGGACTAGTAGACAAATAAATTTTGTAAAAAAAGCACGGACAACTCCGCCTTTTCACGCCCTCCGGTATTTCATCTCTCACCCCGCAAGTACGAATTTCACTCAAAATAGATCATAAGATCGCAGTCTGCTAACAACACGGCTAACAGTAACTACTTCTTTCAAGTCGAATTTAAAATCATCAGAAAAAAGAACGATAAAAAAAGTTTATGATAAAAAAATTTTAAAAACGAACCACTATCATCCACAACATGAACAATCAAAGCATTATCGCAATTGTCACTGGGAGCTCGCTGAGTTTCTGTAACACTGCCATAGACAAAATGAGGTCCACAGTGACCAGCGCCTTCGTTTTCATAAAATTCAGCCGATTCGTCCGGCAACGGAAGCGATCCGCTCACGTAATCTATAATCAAAAAAAAACTGAACTAAATTCAGTCACAATATGCCAGAAATTGATTAGATGTAACGTTTTGCATCATGACTCCTTCTTAGGTTGGGCATGTAATGGTGCGAAGCTGCCTATATAAGGTTAAGTGAAAATTTTGTTAGAATATGTAGAAATGGATGATAGAAAAGATCAAAAAAAACGTGAAAAAGGGGAAAGATGTAAAAAGAAGAAGTAATAAATTAGGTAAGAAATGTTAGGTAAGAAATATATAAGGTCGCTGTTTTTGTGTTAGAATAGTGTTGTGCTGTGGTGTATTGTACAGGCAACTTAGACGACCCACGAAGGAGCCGGACCCTACCAGCCCGAATTATCGCCAAGGAGTCGACCACCCAATCCAACATGCCGGAGCACCAGGCCAGCCAACGAGATCGCCTAGCCACCAGCCCAACATTCCTTAATGAAACTAATTCTTCCTAGTCGACAAATTATGCTATCAGAACCAGCAATGTTCGGGAGGGGGTGGCGATATGCAGTAAAAACCAAGAGCATTTTAAACAAGGATAAAGCCTTGCCAAAAGCTTCTATCTAAGAAACCGCACAAAAAAACAAAAAACCTATCAAATTCCGTCTGAAAAGGTGTAGATTCTTCGATTCTGCATATTTCCACTTAGTACTTGCATAACATATGCAGGTGCATATATATGCATAGGCAGATGCAGGAGGAACTCAAGGGTGAGGTAACGAGCGGAGGGACAGGAGGAGGGCTTCTGAGGTACAGACGAGGGTCCCCTCCTACCTTAGGATCACGAAAAAACTAGAAATAGAGTTGTAACACTGCTACTTAAAG